CATGTTTGTACATTTGATGCCAAAAAATGCATCAGCTACATGTATATACGTGTAGAATGGAGGGATTTTTTTAAAGCTCTGTGGAGAATAAGAAATTAATAATGGGAGACTTCCTTTGCTGCTGGAAGAAACTGTGGTGACAAAAGCCATGTGCACTGAATTTGAATTAGTGTTCTTTAGAGAGCTACCAGAGAAATATAATTTACAAGATAATCAAGAACGTAAATAGATTCGCTGTGGAGTCGTCATCTGATTGCTGACATATATTCAACTCTGTTGAAATGACAGCATAAATACATTTCTAACAATTAGAGAATAGGGGTGAGATGTACATGTATAACTGCAAGAAAAGCGAAATATATATTGGTAACAATATAAATCGACAACCAACTGTTAAAGTAAGTAAACCGTGTATTTGTAGTTAAGCTTTAAAACAACTCACCTTGGAACAGGGGTAAGTATCCCACTGGTCTTTTATGGAAATTTTATAAATACTGTGTCCCAAAAAATCTAATATTCATGACACACTTTAAAAACCTCTATGCCAATGCCTTGGAAATATAAGAAAATAACTTTAATTCCAAACCCCTAACAAAAAGATGCCCTGAACAACTCTGCGACCGTGATCACATTTATTAGGAAAAGTTACCTCTAATTCAACACTTTAAACATCAGTCTTTCAAATAAACACCTTTCAAAAAGAATATGAACTCCAAGAACTTGGTATTTTCCTTGTTTTCTGGCCAATTTTGAAACTTTGGCAGGACAGGTTGTCCTGCCTCTGAGCTTTAGGAGGGAAAACTAGTCCCACAAAATTGAGTTTGTTGTTGAGCTTAATAGAAGATTTGTTTGGCTCATTTATTTTTTTTTAACGATTTTCTTTTTCAAGTAATCTTGACACCCAACATGGGGCTCAAACTCACAACCCCAGAATCAAGAGCTGCATGTTCTACTGATCGAGCCAGCCAGGTGCCCCACTCATTGGGCTCGTTGCATCCTGTTTTGGTGAATTTATGTTTGCATGCACACTGAGGGAGCACTGACCGTACGTCCATAAAGCCAACATGTCCGGGTAGGAATCTGATGAAGATAACTTGAGCCCTTGTTCTGAGGCATCTTCCTCTGCTCCTGCCATTGATCCAGTGGTAGATAACATACGGAATGAAAAGAAGAAAACCAGGGCTTGGGGAGCAGCATGTAGGGATAAGTTAGTGGACTTTCTGTTCCTGCTGTAACCACAGGAATTAAAATTCTCTTTAAATGCCTGGCTCGGGGCCCCCACCTTTTAAAAATCAGGGCTCTGCAAAAACACATTTGGAGAGACATACACACAGACTTGTACTTGAAATGAAAAATGACCAATTTGGGCCTCTGCAGGGGACAAGAGCTTCTCCGTAGCCACGGATGTGGCATGACACTCTCCGGTAGGTAGCCTGGGGAGGAGGCGAGGTGTGCAGTTGCGAAGGAGGGCATCGCTTCACGGCCTTGAAACCAGGACCTGAACCATGGTGCCTGGTGATGAAAGAGAGCAATCACTGCATTCGTACCACTCAATCCAAGAGCCATAAACTTGCAATCTAAGACCTAGCTCTAGACCAGAGGCCCTGGGTGGGAGCAGCCACAAAACTGCTTGACGCAGAGAGGTGAGTTGGGAAGGAGAGGAACGCAATAAGGAAATAGCATTTATGAAAATAGCAAAGAACTGGGGCGCCCGGCGGTAGGTTGAGTCAGTAAGGCATGTGACTCAATCTCAGGGTCATGAGTTCGAGCCCAGGTCTGGGTGTAGGGCTGACTTATGTAAAAAATAAAATAGCCAAGAACCAAATGGATCTGCCAAAGAACATCTTTGGAAACGCAAACTGTGGTCATTGAAATTACTAGACTGTACCCCATCAGAGATCAGGGAATTAAAAAAACGTAAGCAAGCAGTGAAGAGAAATGGAGAATTTACCACCAGGCTCCCAAATATATCTAGGAGGAGTTTCAGAAGAACATGGAGGAAATGGCAGAGAAGCAGTATTTGAAGGCACAATAGCTGAGAATCTTCCAGAACTGAAGAAGGATATGAGTCTTTAAGGAAATGGTTTCCTGAGAGCAATTTCCCACATCTGGGAAGGCAAGAAAGGGCCTCCGTAGAGCAATTGGTATTCTTCACAGCCCTGGCAGATTCAAATGAGCTTTTTCTGGTTTTCCCTGGAAAACATATAAATAGAAATGTAATGTGTTGTATATACTAAACCGTGTTTTATGAACAAAGACACTTAGAAAAAGATCTTTGGACAACTCGACCCAGAAGATCAAGATACCAAGGAAGACCTCTCCAGAAAAGGTAGTCTCTCCTGTGTGTATCTTTGTGAAGAGTTGGGGGGAAGACGGTAATCATTTGCTGTACTAGGCTGAAGTCCACATCTAAAAATAGTGTTTTCAAAATGAACACTGTGGATGAACAGTCTGGTAGAAAGAAGAATCTTGAATAGGATTCTCTGCTAAAGGGTGGTGTTTGTTGGTTGGGACTTTGCAGTGAAGCTGGATTTCTTCTAGGTTCATGAGCAGCTGCTGGCGGGGGGGGGGGGGGGGGAGTTAACTCCCATCACATGAAACCTCGTAAACACTGGATGCTGCTTCAAGGTCACGGAAATATTTCGACGATTGCCAGTTGAGTAGTTAGGAATTGGATTTAATTGCTGCCAACTATACACATGGGTTCCTACCTAGAGGACTGATGTGCAGAATCTGGCTTCGGGTAAACTTGTTTCGATGAAGTGTCTTACTACTCCTTTGTCAAAGCGACTTGCCCTGAAACAAAGTGCGTACACACAGCCCTCCTTGCAGATTCATAGAAGATAGACAGGATTTCAGTCAAAACAGATCAGAGAGGATATTCCTGTCGATGAGAAAGATCAGGTATCGATTTCCTGCATGACTTTCAACAATTCTAGAAACCTTGTAAAATTAGGTCCAGGATAGAGCTTTAAACAGAAAAAAAGAATACACTGGATTTTATGTCTTCTTCCATGTGGACATCCAGCATTTTGGAAGCCATACCATCCCCTGTGGGTCTTTCAAGTATGGACTATCCGAAAATATTTCCTTAACTGAAACCTGGTCATGAGATGATCTTACTTTTGCAAGCTGGACAGTGGGAAGACTCTGCTTGCCTCTCATGCCTTTTCTCAGAGATCCAGACCTCCACCATTCATGAATAGGCAGTTCTCTCAGCTGACGAAGCATCATCTGTGAGCAACAGGAATCTGTCATCTTACTTGGTATTTCCTGAAACGAGAAGCAAGAGATCAAACGTTCTAATCAATAGTAGCAGTGTCCTCCGTTGGAACTACCATCTCAGCAATTCTAAAGCAAGAAGGAAATCTATACCCTTAAATGTATTTATTAAAAAACATAAACGGTTTCAGCATTCAACCTGCAGAGCTAGAGGAAAAAGCACGGTGAATTTTAATGGACGTAAAGTAAGCAAGATTGGAGTTCAGAGACTCAGCACATTCTTGGATGTGAAGACTCCATAACATGAAGTCACTTCTTCCCTGTTGAACCTAGATACCCCCACTGTTATTCAAAGCCTAAATTTCAACAAGAACCACCAAGACACTTTTAAGGCAGGACAGAGTAGGAAGTCCTCCCAGACACCAATTTATTTCAAGTTGTAGTAAGTGATCTGCATGGGGACATAAAAATAAACCCACAGAACAGAGAGCTCAGAAGCACACTGATGTATTTATGGGCACTTGATGTATTGCAGAGCTCCCCTTAGAAATCAGTGAAGAAAAGATGGACTTTACAAAGAGGCTGGCTTCATCACTTAACCTATGGGATTGGGAGTAAAATTAGATCATGTCTTTACACCAGGCACAAAAGATTCTGGGTGAATTATGGAGGTGTAAGGAAGATTTTCTTAAAACATAAAAAGCAGAAAACATAGAGGAACATATTGAAATTTAAAATGTGTGTACTACCGGATGCCATGAACGCAGTTAAAGAGATTGCTCAAACCCAAACAATTCCACATTCAGCTATGTTCTGTAAAGAATCTCGTGAACAGGTATCCAAGGAGACAGAAGGAAGTTAATTGCATCTTTGTTTGTAATAGTGATGAGTGGAAACTTAAATATCCACTGGCATGAGAATGTTGTTGACCTATTCAAGCAGCAGAATAATACCTTACGACAATTAAAATCAGGAACTATTATGTATCAACCTGGATAAACTCCAAAACGGTGTTGAAGGCAAAAAGCAACTCTTAGAATGGTATGTATCTTCTTAAACGTAATGTTCTTAAAGTTTAAGAACATGCAAAATAACAGGTTCAATCACATGAAACGGCCACTTTTGTAGGTAAGACGAACAGCCAAATATCAGCATGTTGACTAAGTTCAACCTAATCTTTGTGCATACATTCATGGTAATGATGGACATTGAATTCAGAATGGCATTATCTCCTTTGGGGGGGGGCGCAATGGGGGAGGAGGGGCTGCTAGGGTACCGAGGGGAATACATCGGAAAGCTGCAGCTTTATTTCTTCAAAAACTTTTTGAAGAAAACACGGCAGATGTTTCATTTATTGAAACAGTGTGGTAGGTTCATGGTTACATTGCTGCTAGGCTGTTCCACATTGCTGTTGTGAATGTGTGATTTTTTTTTTTTTTAAGCAAACCCGTGTTGACAGAGGTATAAAAATTTGTAATCTCATGACATTATAAGCAAATGGTTGTAAAGTGACTGAACCCATTGCTGCTTGCTCATCTGAATGTGGCGCTCATAAGAGGTTGAAAAGCATCTCCCCTCACACACAGACTCTTCCGATTTTCTTTTGTTTCTTAAGCATTGCGAGGATCGTCATCATAAAAACCATTAAGTACCTCTCTTTTGCTTGCTGTTGTGTGTGGTGGTGGTCAGATGTATCTCTCTGCCATTTTATATGAAATCTGATGATGATTTTCAACTTTCTGGGTTTTTTCTTTTCCCACTTTCTGTGATGCCAACAGAAATCTGCAAGCAGAATATGATCGTCTCAAGCAGCAGCATGAACATAAAGGCCTGTCCCCACTGCCGTCCCCGCCTGAAATGATGCCCACTTCTCCCCAAAGTCCCCGGGATGCTGAGCTCATTGCCGAGGCCAAGCTACTGCGTCAGCACAAAGGCCGCCTGGAAGCCAGGATGCAAATCCTGGAAGATCACAACAAACAGCTGGAGTCACAGTTACATAGGCTCAGGCAGCTGCTGGAGCAAGTGAGGCCCACATCTCTCTAACCTGGGATATTGACCAAGATTCCTGTCTCTTCTCTTAGAGAACTCAGAGTTCATTGTAGAGTTACAACAAGTATTGATTTGTTGAGGACTTAGGATGTGCCGAGCAAAGAGCTGGCTCTCAAGGGACAGAAGACAGAGGAGGAAAGCTAGTGTATCTTTTTTATGTTCGTTCAAGATCGTTGCCTACAAATTTTTTTTTATTTGAGCCATTTAAAAATCACCTTGGGGAAAAAAATTCTGCAAGGTTTCCCCTGGTTTCCTAAAAGTGGGCAATTTGTCTTATTTCCTGGTCGACCTTTTGATTTTTTTTCTAATTCCTAAAACATAATTTTTTCAGCCTCCAGTGAAAACCTAGCAAGACAGTGCATTGTAGTAGGCCCTCCCTGCCCGAGGTCCTGACTTTCTGGGAATTTTAAAGTTGGAGATCTGTTCTCTCCATCGTGTTACTTCATACTTGACAAAAGTATGAATTCTCTCCTACACTGTTGTGGTCTCACATGGTTTTACCATTCTCAAGTGACCTTCTAAATCTTTCAGTTATTTGGTCTAATGATTTTATATATCTTGTTCCATCATAGCTGTAATTTCTTTTCAAATGTGTAAGGAGGGCACAATTCAGGTACAAAGACAATATCCATGGAGCTTACCAACAGCAACATGTGGGAGGTTTCTAATGAGAAAAGGTTCTAATTTCTGAGTGCTATGAGTAGTCCTTTTATATTTGTACAGTTATTTGAGTGTTTATCCTGAAAACTAATCCTGTTTTCTTTCGGCTACCTTAGCCCCAGGCAGAGGCCAAGGTGAATGGTACAACAGTGTCTTCTCCTTCTACCTCTCTTCAGAGGTCGGACAGCAGCCAGCCTATGCTGCTTCGGGTGGTCGGCAGTCAGACTTCAGAATCCATGGGTAAGCGTCTCTCAGCTGCTGTTGGATTTTGTTTGCTCTTAAGGTCTGGAAACGGTGAACTGTTTGCTCAGAGGTTCACATCATCAGCTAAGTCCCCTACTCTATACAAGCCACGGTCATAAAGGTCTTCGGGGTGCGAAGATGAGTCACATAGTCCAAACCCCCTCAAGGGGCCATTCAGTTACTCAGAACAAGGCAGTATAGTAGTCAAGTTTCATTCATTTTGGAGAACAGAAAAGGCTTTATGATGAATGGATGTTTGTGAACAGTTTTGAAGGGTAAAGTAGGAACCCAGCACTCTTTGAAGAAGGAAGAGCGTGAAGTGGAGATGTAGAGATGAAGACCTTGGGCCAAGGGCAGAAACGAGCCAACAGTCCATGTCAGTAGAAAAATGGGGTCCAAGCAGAAGGGCCAGGGTAGAGGGAGGGAAGTAACGCCACAGAGGAAGGCTGGGGTCACGTTGACAGGAATGTTGTGCAAAGGTGTTGGACTCACTTTGGTCGGAGTTCGGGAGCCACTGAAAATCATATATACCTGGTAAGAAATGTCTCCAAAGAGGTATCCCGGCAGCTGTTTCTGGCCCAAAGTAACCCATCTTTCCACCTATAAGAGGCCAACACCAAGGCCCAGTTCTGGGAGGTCATAGTATAGGCTTGCTAGAAGACTGGGAGACTACTATTTGCAAACCAAGTACCTAGGGCTGGGGGCTTGCCTGGAAATGATGGGGTTGGAAGGAGATCGTGATCCTTTTGACTGGGTACATACTATTTGTGAGAAACTGGCGGGTCTGAGTCATGTGCGGAAAGAAGCAAAAGCAAAGGTCTGTAACTGGTGGGAAAGGGCAGGCTGGGGGAGGTGACGGTGCGCTCCACAGAAGTGGTAGCCGAAGGGTATGAGAGGAGAAACGTAGAACAAAGGTGTTTGGATCCAGGGTCTTGAAAGACCTCCCTTTGGGCGATGGGGTAGTGAAGGAGGGGAAAGCAGGTAGAAGGCAGATGTGGGCAACAGGTCCAATGCAGGAAAGGGCTCAATGGGAATGAAAAGTGACAGCTCGTTGGATCATGTCAAGATCAGTTAAGAGACTTGGAACATGACTCAGTCACAATGAGGACTTAAGTGAAAGATGAGTTTGTCGAGGAAATGATCTAGTGTTACTCTTCCACAGTGTTCTTTGCCAAGGACTGGGTTCTCAGAAAGCTGGAGGGCATGAGGCATAAATGATAATAGAATGTCACCAGCCATCTGCTTCTTGGCTTTTCCTGCCATGCTAGACTTAGACATTGTGAAGGCCACAGATACTTGCTTTAGCCCCCTCATTTCTCCTCCTCTCTTTTTTTTAAAGATTTATTTTAAGGGCGCCTGGGTGGCTCAGGTCATGATCTCAGGATCCTGGGATCAAGTTGCTCAGCGGGGAGACTGCTTCTCCCTCTCCCCCTGCTTGTGCTCTCTCTGTCAAATAAATAAGTAAAAAAATCGTTAAAAAAAAATTTAGAGTGCACACACATGGAGAGAGGGGCAGAGACAGACTCCCCATTGAGCATGGAGCTTGATCCCACAACCCAGGAGAATGCGACCTGAGCCAAAACCAAGAGTCGGACACCTAGGCACCCCCTTCCTCCTGTCCTAAGGCCCAGCATGAGGAATCCCATCTTTTATGTTTCCTTTTCCCTGGATCCTCTCTAGATCTTACCTCACAGAAAGGGAGAGACCTGGGTCTCCTTGATTCCTCAAAGCAAATTCATTTTGTACTTAAGGTGTTCCATGAGAGTAGCGTATAGGGAGGTAAAGTGATGGACCAAAAGGAAGAATCAAGGGACCATGGTCAGGAAAAATGGAGACCACTGAGAGGGGGCTTTTCGTGGGTTCGAGGAGACCAGGTTGGGCTCATTAGATGGTAGGGGGGCTGAATGATGAACTTCAAGAACCTCAGGCACTGGGCAGAGTCCTGTGTTCCTCCAGAGAAGTCAAGCCTTGCAGGAAAGCCAGGCTTCAGTTGTTTTGCTTTGTGAAGGAACAGAATGTGGGTGAAGTGGCTTTATCACAGCTCAGTGATTGGGGGCAGTGTTCACATCAGATTCTCTCCCCACTGTGAGATCTGAATAGAACTACTGGACTGCTGGGACTGAAAATGAGAGTTTGGCATAGGAAAAAAACGTATGCCTCTTAAAAGTCTGTAAACTCCAAAAACAACAGAGTTTTTGTACCTTTCTTTGAAGCAAGCAAAGCATGTGAAACTGCATTGCCTATTTTAACAAGTGAGATTCACGGCCCTGGGTGCTTAGAAGCAGTCATAAGCAGTCATTATGTAGGCCTGTCAACACTGGCCCAAGGAAGCACCCAAATGACGGCACGTGGCAGAACAGAAAACAAGGACAGAAGTGCTCTGTTTGGTGAGTTCAGCTAACTGGCTAGTAGAAAATGGATTGGCAACCTTTGTTCTCTGAAAGAAAAGACTAAATTCAAAGGTGATCTTTTTTCCAACTGTGTAAGTCAACTTCCTTTAAGTGAAAACAAAAAAAAACAGCGATCTTCCTGAAGGACACACACGGGTAAGTGTGTATCCTCGTGCTTTGAAGGTCTGAGCTGTGATTGGGATTTACAGAACCATAGTGTGGATAGAGAACTGCGTTCTTTAAAATGACTTTTAAAGATTTTATTTGAGGGGCGCCTGGGTGGCTCAGTCGTTAAGCGTCTGCCTTCGGCTCAGGTCATGATTCCAGGTCCTGGGATCGAGCCCCACATCGGGCTCCCTGCTTCTCCCACTCCCCCTGTGTTCCCTCTCTCGCCGTGTCTCTCTGTCAAATAAATAAATAAAATCTTTAAAAAAAAAAAAATTTTATTTGAGAGAGAGAGGGAAAACAAGCGGGGGGAGAGCAGGCTTCCCCCCCACCGAGATGCGGGACTTGATCCCAGGACCCGAGCCGAAGGCAGACGCTTAACAACTGAGGCGCCCCTAAAATGACTTTTTTTTAACTGGGACAGTGTCATGAAGCTTACATTCTATTGGAAAAGACAAACTTGCTAAGTTTGGCTTTCGTGAGCTACGTATACAGGAGCTTTACCAGCAACTCCTTACCTCTGATGACTTGTACCCTTCTTCCCACTCACTTTTCCTTAAAAAACATTAAGAGATTCCCTGGCTGCTTTAGAATAATTTCAAAATGTGGCAGAATTGGAGTTAATTGAACAGTTTGCCACGTTTATACTGTATGTGCAGAGTTTAACTGACCCATTTAATGATTACATTCCATATCTAAATACTTCAGTATGTATCTTCTGAAGTGAAAGATGCCCTCTTACATAACCACAAAAGAATGATCGCACTCAGGAAATTAACACTGATACAACACTGCTAGACGGAATTTAAGTTGAAATAGCCCCATTCTTTACGGCTTTCTATTTTTTTCCATTCAGGATTTAGTCTCCCGTGATCTAGAACACTTCCCCAGCCTCTCTACATTTTTCATAACACTGACATTTTAGAAGAGGTCAGAGCAACTTGCTCTGTAGGATGTCCCTCACTCTTGGATTCAAGTTAAATATTTTACACCCAATTACCACTTCTCACGGCATCACTCAAGGCTTTCCTCAAGATTGCTGAGTGTCTGTTGGATAAAAAAGTAACCCAGTCTTAAATCCTGGTCAGCTTCCAGAACATCATCTAATTTTCCAACCTGCACAAAGATAGTCCTTTACCACCCTTTCTTCGTTTTTGAAGTATGATTTTGGACCTATGCATATGCCCCTGATATGATCACAAACAAGGTACTAAATATATTCGTCACTCCCAAAGTACATCCTTTCTCTACCTTCTTTAGCCAAGCCCAGCCCAGCTACCACCAAGCATCCAGGTCAGTCTGTTTCTTCTCACACACAGAGCAAAACACCTCACAGCTTCTGCCAGTGATCAGCTGAACTCCCCCTTCCTCTCCAGCCTCTGAACGCGATGCCTCCCTCCATCGGCAGGGCCGGTGCTCATCCACACAGAGCGTGCTGTCGCGCTCACCTGTGGGCAGTGTTTCCTTTAGCCCAAAATATACCATCCTTTCTTTTTGGGGAATTTCATCCTCATTAGATCTCATAATCTATTCTGTTTTGTAGTTAGTAGCATTTCCTCCTTCTCCCTAGCACTTGAGCCCTGTCTATGCAAGCAAGAAACGTTCAGTACAGTGCTTGTGAAAGGAATGTTTTACTAAGCAAGCCCAACACATCCCTGTGTACACATGCAACAATCCACACACTTAAGAAGTTTACCGGAGAGGGTCTGGTTAAAGATGGCAAGAAAACAGAGTCCTGAAATTGCCTCCTCCCACAGACACACCAGACCTACAGCTACATACAGAACAAGTGCCTCGGAAAGAAATTCAGAAAGTAGCTCAGTGACGCCTACCCCTATCAGGCAGATGTGGCGAGGGGACACCCCACAAAGAAACAGGTAGGAGAGGCTGAGACACAGTGCCACCATAACCCCCGGCCCTCCATAACATAACCGGGAAGGAGCTCACAACTTTCAGTTCAACAGGGCATGAGTCCAAGCGATCCACAAGGTTATCGTGAACGGAGAGACAGTACTTCAAGGACTCACAAGGACTCCCCGTGGCTAACCCTCCACGGCTGAGCTCAGAGGGAGCACACTGAAATGCGCCCACTCGTCCTTGGAGGAGGCCTATTTGTTCCTGGTAAAAGCTTCAGCCTGAGGTGTAGAATTCTAATTTGACACACATTTAGGGACCACCCGAAATACTCCGCAGAGGCTGATCTTCCTGCCTCCCTGCAGGTCACGTGCTAGCTCTTTGAAAGGAGACTATGCACATATCTGATGCTGTGGTTTTCGTGGCTGCCATCCAGTAAACACAGAGCTTGATCATCTGGCTCTAGAGGCCAGCAGAGCTTGTGTTCACAGGTTCATTCAGTGGGATGGCCGCAAACAAGAGAATGTAAATGGCCGTCACCTAGGAGGGAACAAACTCCCGTCTGTCCCTGAAAAAAGTATAGCTCCA